CTTTGTGGACTAAGTCCCCCTTTCCCCCATCTGAAAGACTCTGGACAAGCTGCTTAAACTTTTTGAGCTTGTTTCCTTTCTGGTTCAAAATGGTATGATTCTAATATAAATACTTATTTTTGAATCTGCCCATCTGAGCAAAACGAAACAAAATAAAAAAAACCCAAGTCCCCTACAATAACCCAGAGATTCTTATCAGTTTGTTGCAGAAAAGCTCTCTTCCTCATTAGCATTCTCAGTGTAACAAGAAAACAACAAACGGTCCTATTGTCCAGCAGTCATGTTAGAAACTGACTGAGGAGTTGAGTCTAGCTGAGCAGACCATTTATGCACACTACATGCCAGGTTCCCTGCTGGGTCTCTGGAATACAGAATTGCAAACCTTCCCCTCCAGGGGCTTAAGGTCGAATAGTCAACTCACACCAGAATGGGTGTTAAGGTGGAGGCAGATGGGCCTTTACCTCCGCAGAAGGCCAGGGAAGGTTCCCTAAGGGACGTGGTAAGTGAGCTCAGCCTTTCAGAATTTTGAGTTCAACCAGATGAAGGAATAGGTACTAGAAGGTGGAGGTAGGGGAGAAGCAAGGAAGACTTTTTAGGCAATGCGAACAGTTTCAACAGAGGCAGTGAGGTCTGGGAGGGCATTTGGGGTGGGAGGGGTGGCAGTGAGAGACTGTGGGTGCAGCTACAGCCCAGTGTCAGCTGAGGGGTGGTGGGAGACGAGAAGGCAGGCAGGCACAGCTCGGGCAAGGAGGGCTCCATGCACATTACAGAGCTTGGAGGGAGCGTGTAGAAATAATATGGTTAGGAAAAAGCCGTTCATCATCAAAATGCCCCAATGATGGAAGGAAATTTTATGAAGAAAGCACCAAACTCAGGAAACCCAAGACCAGCTGAGTGGGGTGTGGGAGACACAGCCACTCAGCCTTCTCTGGCTGCACCCTGGCCAGGCAAAGTGCTCCCCGGATGGGTGGGGGCAAGAATGCAGTTACTTTGAGGACCATGAGAAGGCCCCAGGGGGTTCTTGGGGCCATGTGTGCCTGACTTGCTTCCTGGACCTGGATGACTGTAGTGGATTGAATTATGTCCCCCCAAAACTCACTGAAGCTTGAATTGTGTTCCCCAAGTTTTATGTATTGGAAACTTATCCCCCATTGTGACTGTTAAGAAGGTGGGAAATCCTATTATGGTAATTGAAAGGTGGAGCCTTGAAGAGGTGATTGGATTGTAGGACCATGCAGTAGTGAATGGATTTAAAATGGTGGTCAGGGGCGTGGTTCTGACGGCTTTAAAAGAAGAGGAGAGGCTTTCTTCCTCTCTCTTTCTGCTCTCTCTCCTTCCACGATCTTGCAATGTGAGATCCCTGGGTCATTGTTGCCACCACCAGATGGACTTTGGACTTCTCAGCCTCAGAAACTATAAATTTCATTTTCTTTATAAATCACCCAGTTCTGTGTACTTTGTTATAAACAAGATAAATGGACTAATACAATGACACTCCCTTAGACGCAGTCATCAGGTGACAGGGTCTTAAGGACAACACAGTGAGCCCAGTGGAAATGAGGAAGAATGACTTAAATCAAGCACCTCTTCCTTCCGGTTGTTATATTGCTTTTATAGGAATCTGTTTCCCTGGAGGCAGACAGGGCCCTCCTCTGTGCCTCACGTAGTGACGGGCGCACATGGAAGAATGACAAGCAGAGGCAAGATGACAAAGTCGGGCATGGCCAATGCAAACTCTGCCCAACACACAGGAGTCATCTGAGCCGACAGACACATGAAAGCTCCTGCCGTGCTGGTGACGGAGCAAACACGAGAAATCTGTGGCTGGGTCCTATTTCTGACAACAAAGGTTATCAGTCAATTGCTTCTGACCCAGAAGAAAGCTGCAACAGTCTCTGTGAGATAAGAACACACTCTGTGTTACACACAGAAAGGTGCTTTTTAGGGAAATTTAGTAAAAGGGCTATATCCCTGAAGCAGCTACTTAGGACCAGTCAGATGCCACTGGCTGTGTCCTGGGCTCCAAGCCCTGCTACCTCTTGAGCATCCTCTGACCTGAACACGTAGACAATTCACGTCCAGGTTTAGGAGCTGGCCTGGGATTCATCCCACCTACCCCTCGTCTAACGCAGTAGCTTTACACCTCCTCGCAAGAACAGGAAGCCACAGCTTTCAGAAGTGGTCATTGTCCTAACTCTTACACAGATTTCCAGATTATCCTTTAAAATCCATTTCGCTCTCCTAAACTTCTATCTCACTATGACTATTCACCTGGATATACCTTCTTTTTTTCAAAAACTTAAAATATAATTCACATACCATAAAATTAAACTTTTTAAAGTGTACCATTCTGTGGTTTTTAGTATATTCACAAGGTTGTACAACCATCACTGCTATCTAATTCCAAAACATTTTTATCACCCCACAACAGACATGTCTACTTGATGGACCTATAGGATAACATATCTTCTAAGGAACAGCAGAAATTATGCTATTGGGAAAATTTGTTATGGTGAGGAAGAAAACTATGATTTTAATCTCAGTTAAGGCATAGTTTAAGCAGAAACCTGCTTTGTTCTCTAGTTACATCATATACTTTGAGCTTTTGAACCTTCAAAATGGCAATATATGTACAACTTAAAAGGCAACATACATAAATACATATATATTTAAAGAAATGTGGTTTGGGAGTAAATAAAAAAACCTGGAAAACTCTTTAGGATGCCCGCACACCTGGGAGAGGCAAAGTGTGCCTTTACTGTCCCTTCTCCTCTCTCTTCCTGGCTCTCTGCTTCCAATTTTCTTTCCCTCCACTTGCAGAGATCCTGTTCTAGAAGGAAAACCCTCTTATTTGAGGACCTCGTGGCTCCCGAGCCCTTGCACAGCATGTGAAGCCCACCTGGTGCTGGTCCCACTCTAAGCCCATGCCTGGCTTGCGCTCTGCTTTGCAGTCCACGCGTTGGTGTTTAGTTCTTCTGACGTTCCATCCTGTCTTGCTTTGCTGGTCCCCCGGGGACTTATGGACCTGTCCCTCGATGCTGCTGGCCACACTAGCTCTCTCCATGCTCCCAACTCCCAGACTTGGGTTCAGTTTCCTGGTGGCCTGTGCTGGATCTCCTTATGCCACTCTCCCGCTGGCTGGGTGGTCTGCCAGGCACAGCCTCTGGATGTCCTTCAGTCAAACAGCTGGGCCTCTGCTGCTTCCAGTCTGACTGCCCCCTTTTGCCTACAGGGTTCCAGTTCTGACCTCTACCATTTCACCACCGGCTGCTCTGCCCACCAGAGCTGGCCATGCCTAGCCCTGGCCATTCCCTTCCAGCCGCATCTGGGCCTGACTCCATCCTCCAAGCCCAAGCTCCCCATGGTTGCAAGGTGGTGGCTACTAGTATTGGTAGCAATCTTAGCAAAGCAAAAATTTGATACAAATATATTCCTGCTTAAGTGTTAGTGCAGTAATCTCTTAGGGAATGGAGGAATTTAGGCACAAGGCTGCAGCTATTCAGGTAGCAATCTTAGCAAAGCAAAAATTTGATACAAATATATTCCTGCTTAAGTGTTAGTGCAATAATCTCTTAGGGAATGGAGGAATTTAGGCACAAGGCTGCAGCTATTCAGTTAATGGGGTGATTTGGTCAGCCCCCCACAGTTGCCACTCTTTCCCCAAGATGTAGCAATGGAAGGTCTTTGATAACTGAGATGTACAAACTTTCGGTT